CTAAATTGCATAGGCGTCCCGCCGTAGACCGAATTACCCTTTACTCTAGCATTAGGTTAAAGAGTCGTCGTACTCCGTTTTAGGTTTCTCGCCAAGAAATACCTATTTTACCATTCAATTCAATTATAACGTAGAAATAGGAGTCACCGCACTCCACATAAGCGTTTCATTAAGAACGCTTATTCCCCATTGAAACCTTGACCACCGTCAAGAAGTTTCTAACCTCCCTTTCGAGAGGAACTACGATTACTCTGATTCCGTCCCCTACCTCGGATATGTAGGCACAAGATGCGAGTCTTGGCGAGTAAACTTAGGACTAACCCTTAGGTCTTTCTTTTCACTTTCTAGCCTTTAGCAATATACCCTCAAGCAAATAATCAAGCAAAGTAGCAAACTTAAATAAAAGGTTCCTGTAGAGTATGACAAAAGTTTAGGGTACTAATATCTTCCCTAAGCTTAACCAACCCCTTACCTAGATCTCTCCCCGCATTGTTTACGATGCAAAAATTAGGTTTTTCCTTCTTTGATCTTTTTCTTCGGATAAATCAAAGATCGATTATGAATCAAAGATTTACGATTCAAATTAATTAATAATTTGATATCCTATTCTCATCGCAACAATTGTCAATGTACACAAATTTAACTAGAACATAAAACAAGTCTCGATAGATCCTAATAGATATGCGGAATCCATTCCAATGACGCATTTAAGTGATTAAAATTTGATCTTGAGCACTTACAACCCTTTAAAAACTTTCTAGTAGGATTCTCGGGTGATCAAATTCATGATCAATGATACAACTTCATCAGAACAATTTTTAGAGTGGGGAAGAATTACAAAACCAACAAATTCAAATATCTCATAGTTAGTACTCCCTCATCCATAATCATAGGGCGCCTGACACTTAACACTCTAGAAGAATCCTTATCCATATTTTACATCACCTTGATGTATCCTCTATAAAATAAAGAAGTAGAAGTTATGAAATGAGCTAGCCAAAAAGTTATCAGGATAGTCTCGGAGTAAGAACGGTGGATGTAAATAGAAAATTGCCACTAAGATCAAACGCCCAAAATGTCAAATTTGTATAAAACATGCTAGTTCCCATCGAAGACCTTAAAGAATTTTAGATCAGATCCTTAGCTTTCGAACCACTAAAGAAGTATAGTTCTCCTACTTTAGAATAAGTCGGGGTCACTTGAACCTTTTCCTCAAGGTTCTAAAATTAACACCTAAATAAATAAATGTGTCTACCAAATATAGGTGTTTTTTAAAAATAAAATATGAGTTTGGCTTTTGTGAAATAACATTCAGAAAGTTGACAAGTAAATTGCGGGAAGGTTGAAATATGAGAAATAGTGGTGTTGTGTGGTGACGTTGTGTGCATGGCATGAAATTGGGAGAGAATTTTTTTTTGAATTTTAGTGATAAAGTTGTACTAATTTGTAGGAGTGACCTATTGTTTCACATGGGAGAGAGAAAAATGTAAGAAAATAGAGTAGTACTATGTGATATCAATTATTTCTTGCCTTCTAACCCTTAGGTCTTTCTTTTCACTTTCTAACCCTTAGCAATATACCCTCAAGCAAATAATCAAGCAAAGTAGTAAACTTAAATAAAAGGTTCCTGTAGAGTACTACAGAAGTTTAGGATGCTAATACCTTCCCTAAGGTTAACCAACCCCTTACCTAGATCTCGCCACGGTCCTCCAGAGTTCAAAACTCCGAGCTTCGACCATCATAAAAGAGCTACACACCGGAAGAGTCCCTCGAGTAGGTATAACCATAAAATGGCTGCTCATCAACCGTGGCTACAAAGAAAAATCAACAACAGAGCAAACAAATAATTTTGATCATAAATCACATCACAATTTAAATCATATGTTAGTTTATGAATTGAAATCAGATTACATTAAAAATTAGGAACCAATAACACATCTTTTAATGTAAAGGAACTTGATAAATTCACATCTCCCATATTTTCAACTAAGGTTGAAATCCATGTTGGTGTAGTTATGTAGAAAAGTTTATCTAAGGAGTCATGTGGTGTGAAGCACCACTATCAAGTATTCAATTGAAATAATATTCAAATTTATCAATCATGTTTTCATGTGCGTTTGCATGATTTTTGGCAAGAACTCTATGCAGGGCGTGTTCTGATGTTGGTGCTTTTGGATATTCTTTTCTCTCAGCGGCTTGAGCAAAATTTGCTACTTGTTGTCCTTCTGATTTATTAGGTTCTCTCCTTTGAGTTCTTCATGATTCCCAACTTGATGGATATCCAACAACCTCAAAGAATTTTGCCTTGACATGTCCATTTTTCCCACAATGATCACACATTAATATTGAGTGATATTACTTTCCTCTTTTCCTATATGCATCTGAGTAAAACACATATTTCCACCTTAGAATCGGTTTTCTTATCTGCTGCAAAACTTTATTATCTTTGCATTTGAGTAAAGACACGCCTAAGAGAGGGTAGTTGATCAGTATTAAGTATGGTTACCTTGATATGAGAGTATTGTTCACTATCAAAGCCTCTAAGAAAAAGATGGACTCACTGTTCTTCTTCCCTTTGTGTTGATACTTTAGCAGCTCCGCAACTGCATTTAGGTAGGGTTTACAATTCACTTAATTCATCAAAAAGATTTTTGAATTGAGTGTAGTAATCTGTTACACTTGTTTTTGATTGTTTCTGCATTGAACACAAGTTTATCCACAACTGATGGATTCATGGAGCATTGGTGTGAGATGTTGTTGTGTAGATTTGATTATGTCTCATTGATCAACCAAGTTGTTACCATTGAATCCGTCTTCTCCCAGTCATGGTACACTTCAGATAAAGTTGATGTTTCTTGATGCTTCCATCATTGAAACCCAGTATCCTCTTCGCACACAAAGTTGTCTTGGTCGATATTGCCCGTGTGCGGTAATTTTTTTCATTCAGCAATATTGTCACGAGTGGAGTTCCAGAATTATCAGAGTTGTTTAGATGATAGGTTTTTGTGTTCTTTGTTGTGTTTTTTTTCCAGGTTTGGAGGTATTTTTCTTCTCCAATATCTCTTTCTACTCAGAACCATGCTCGAGTGCTATAATAGAAAATTAACTTGAAAAATATGTTGTATTTTTATTGTTTTTTATAACACATAACATACCTTTATATATAAATTGATGGTTTATCATTCAGATCTTGAAAATAAGATAAACCCTAACAAACTAATAACAAACTATTTAATTTATCTAACAGATTCTCTGTAACAGCATGTTATGTGCTACTGTTTGAATGTGTTGATGCAAGTACATAATGGACAAATTCACCTTAAAGGCCTTGCGTAGAATATGGAAAACAAATACTTCATGCAAGATACAAATGTTCTGTTGGCGATTGATACCCAATAAACTCCCAACTAAAGTTAAATTATTTAAAAGAGAAGTAGTCAATATGAACCACAATTTATTGTGAACGTTATGTTTTAAAGAAGAGGAATTCACATCACACTTGTTTTGTTTTTTTGGCCTGTTTTTAATACAAGTATGGAGAATGATGCACGAATGGATTGATGCAACAGGTTCGATGGCTAAAACAGATGCAAAACACTTCTTGCATAAAAAACAGAATCCAAAAAATCTAAAGAATCTGTAATGGTTGAAGATATGTTAGTACCTGTGGTTTAGAAAAATGATGTGTTATAAACAAAATGATGTGTTATTTAAAGTTTCAAATAAAATTCTTTTATTATTTAAACTTTAAGTCGGTCTTAAACAAAACTGAAAATTTTACTCACAAGATATTTACTAACTTAAATACGTGGACCGAAATCATTCTAAGAGTTCTGCACTAGTATCATTGCTTTTTATCCCAAGAAAAAGGGTTGATGAAAGCCAAGTGCGTTAAAAGCCAAGTGCAATACGACAAGCTTTAGAACAAGCTTTTTCTCAGTGCTCTACCATTCATAATCTCACTATTTCATCTTGTTCTAAGAATCTAATCACAAAGGCATAATAGTACTGTACTATTTCCGTTTTTATTTATAAATTGAACTTTTGACACGTACTAAAAATATTATTATTATTATATAAAATCATTTTTTATTAATGATATAGGAAAATAAATTTGTATAATTGAAAAAAAAATAATAATAAACTTTTTAAGATTAAACTCTCAAGTCACCATATCAAGAGAGAGATGGAATTTGTAAGTTTGTAAATAATTTGTACTTCAGGTGACATAGGGTTACACTTAGGGTAGAAACATGCCTATTCGCTAGGTTTAGGGCATGTTTTAGCTTTAAAAAAAAATTTTATTTATATTTTCATAAATTAATTTTGTAAAACTGTTTTAAAAATATTATAAATTTTTTTATATTTATTTTTTCTAAAAAAAAGTAATAAATTTTGACATCGTACAACATAAATATACATTATTAAATATCAAAACATAATTGAAATTGTAATTTTTTTTATTTCAAATTTTTTTATATAAAAAACTATTTAAAATAAATTTAAAATTAAGTGAGTTTTTGAATATCTTTCAATAAAATAATAAAATATTTAAAATAATATTTAAATTATTCAAACAAGACTTTTTTATAAATTTTTTCTACAAAATTTTAATATACTATAAAAATTATTTAAAAAAAAGATAAAACTGACTCTTAAAAACTTTCGATCTTAAAAACTTTGCATTCATAAAGACTAAATATTGTAAAAATTCTTGTAAATGTCACTACATAGCTTGTAATTTGGTCAATGTAATGTTAAAACTTTCAACTCAATAAACCATATAACAAAAAATATCAGAAAAATATTAAGATCAACTTCTATAGTATATTCTTTAGCTTTAGGGGTCTATTTTTCCCATCAGTTTTACAAATTGTTATCTAAACAAAAACTCTATAAAATCCAAAAAAAAAAATGTATCAAATGAATTAACTGTTGAGAGTTGTAAGAAAGAGTGAACACTGAGAGAATTTATAAAATTGCATTCAATGCACCATTTGTTATTGATCCTTGTTCAATTGCTCCAACCAAGCCGGAATCGCGTCCATTCCGTTGTTAAGATTGTTTTGCAGTTTCCGTTTCTGATTTTCATCGCCAAACCGGCTAGATTCCTGCGGCGTAGCGTCCTTCACGAGTGAATTAACCCAAGAGATGTCCGGTTCGTTGTCGTTTTCCGATTCTTGAGTTGCAGTTGTGGATAGAGGAGTGTTGCTGCTTCGAAATCCAAAAGAAGACGATTTTCTCAGCTTGTTCAGCTCTTCTCCCTGTATGATCCAATCCAGTTTTCCGTCGGGTGATCCCCAGTTGGAAAATGGGTAAGGATTAACAGGAGAAAGATGCTCGGAATGACGATTTGCCACGCTGCGTTCGTTGAAGCTTTGGCTCCCCATGGCAAAGGCGGCAGCTCTTGAATATAAGGCCGCTGCAGATAACTCCCCGGATAGGTCATATCTAGTCGGCGATCCAATCACACTGGGAGAGTAATTTTGCTGTTGCTGATTTATATTTGGACGCATTTGGATTCCGGTTGGAGATTGTAACTGAGTTCCTGCAGCATCAAGTGAGATTCCGTGGAATTTATGCAATGTTGAAGGATGGAATGATCCGAAAATGTCTTCGAGGTTGTTAGTCTTCATCCCCGAAAACCAGTTTAGTTCACCAGTAGTATGTTCGTTCAATGAAACCGGAAAAGATGGACTGTTAGGCATGGAGTTTTTCCAGTTGGAAGGTGAGGAAAGACTGGATTTCTCGTCCATCATTAGTTGCTGGCTTCGCCGCTGATTTTCAGCCGTAAGCTTTGCAATATCTGAATTAATGTCTCTAGCAGTTATTGCCGAATTCAACCTGCTTCTCGAAAGCTGAAGGGTAGGGATCGGAACATTGCACTGTGTCTGCCACATGGCTGCCGCAGAAACAGGAGAAGACGCACCAGATGGAGTCAAAGGCGGTGTTGATGAGGGCGGCATCAAACCAGACGGAGAACCAAGCGCGGTAGGACTAAGAGAACCCGTCTCTAATGCAGAAGCGCTACTGTAATATGACCTCGGAGACGGAATAGCAGAGGCGGTAGAAGCATACAAGGGGCGAAGCTCCTCATTCTTGTGAGCAAAGAAGCAAACTCTTCTTGTGCACAAGCTCTCATCCTTGCAAAGACGTGTACGATATTGCCTAGGATGAAGGTAGCACTCAAAAATGCCATGAGCATAGTCACACGAATCCCCTTTGCTACACGATCCTTTGCGAAACTCGAGACAAGGGACACAGCTATAAGGATATTTCTTTGGATCGCGCCGCCTTGCATTTTCCCCGGGATGAACAAAGGGACACTCGGTCCAATCATGAGAATACGCCCTTGAACAAGGCTTCACTTTGAACGTATACATCCTAAACTCATCGGTACTATATATTCCGTTCTTTATGTCAGGAAGAGAAAGATCAAGAGGATAATCTTTTGACAAACGAGGCGAATTTAAATCTTGCCTTTGATACTCATCAACACCGTCAATTGTCTCCGGAAATATAAAACATGTCTGATCAGCGCCGCGCGTACCCTCCAGTAGAACTTGCAGCATTCTCTTTCTCGAATCAAAGATAGAATTCCCCACCGAGACAATCAAGTCAACGGGGCGTTTACCATTGGCATCAACAGCACCAGCATCCGCCGACGCATCAAGCAAAAGCTTAACAATGTCAGCAGAAGCCGCAGAACCGCCAACAACCGCACAATGAAGAGCAGTAGCACCGTCCGATCCACTACCCAGATTAACATCAACGCGACCCGTTCCAAGAATATATGCTGATACATTCACGCTTCCAAACATAGCAGCAACCATAAGAGGAGTCCTCTCTACATAACCCAATTTATTCGAACCAGCCCTTCTCCCATACCACAAACCAACCTCATCAACATCACAACTCTCGTTTTCGACCGCATCTTTGAAACCAATCACATCATCTGCAGCTGAAAATTCAAGCAAATCATTAACATCCCAACGCCGCCCTTCTTTACTCTCATTCTCATACCCCATACCGCTGCACATGGAGATATCTTCCCTTAATACCTCAACAGAATCTGAAAAGCAACACAAGAAAACAGGTTAAGATGCTATTGAACAAGCCATGATTTTTTGTCTCAAATTTAAAGCACGGAAAAACTCAGTTTAACATAACAAAAGTGAAAACAGATAAATTCTCGTCATTTTGCGGATGCATTTGCATGTGATTGTTGGTGAAACGAAAAGCTTCTAGTTACAAAAAGATGAACCGACATGAAATTGGCAACAACGAGGAGAAACAAGAAATCGTTACAAACAGAAACTAAATATCAAAAATAAAAAAAAAGAACAACCTGTCATGTTGTTTTTCTTTCATGAATTAACTAACAAACCGAAACCCAATTGTTTTCTTTTTCTGAACATTACATTAAAGCTTCAAAGAAACCAATAAAGAAATCATTTTTAAACAAAAAAAATTCAAGAACCCGTCCTCATGAAAAAGTGAAAACAACATGCAAGAACAAGAGAAATGAACCGTACCTTAGAATTAACAGCACAGAGACAAAAAGAAGAAGTTTTTTCTTTAGGAAAGTAGGAAAGAATGTTAGAATGAGAAAAGAGGGAGTGGAAGATTTTTCTAATAGTTTTTGGTTTCGGTCAAGAAAAGGGAGCTTACTAGTTCCCTCTTCTTACCAGTTCCATTTTGTTTTTTTTAGAGAAGTCACCAAGCCCCATTTGTTCTATTAAAGATTTAATAAAATATATACTCTCCCATTTTCCAAATAAATGTGGTCCTAGTTTCTTTTAACATAAATAAAAAAACTATAAACAAATAAAATAATATTACAACTTTATAATTTTTCTGATTAAATAAATGAATTATATATATATATATATATATATATATATATATATATATATATATATATATATATATATATATATATATATATATATATATATATATATATATATATATATATATATATATATATATATATATATATATATATATATATATATATATATATATATATATATATATATATATATATATATATATATATATATATATATATAAATAAAAGTATCATTTTTTCAAACAAATTTTTTTATTTCAAATATTTTCAAATTAAATTAAATTAAATTAAATAAGCTCATACAATATACTTAAAATTTAATAATTTTTGTTCTAAGCCGCCAGAAATTTATGAGCAAATGCTATTGGGGTCACGAATTTTCGTTCTCTTGTATGTAGACAATTTCAATCCCTAGTTCATTAGACATCATCCAGATCAATCGTTCAGTCCTTAACATGACATATCACATTCCACATAAAGTCGTTATAATTGTATTTTCTATACAAAGAGGAGAGTGTGTCATTTCACAGGTGATTTAAATACATATCCATTGCTTTTAATTTCTCATTTTCTTAATGAATTGGGCATTAGAGTGATAATTCTATAAGTACATCCTAGCGCCTCCGTACCAAAAATCTCTGTGCATCGCATCGAAAAGTCCAATTGCACCAATCCAACTCAAATTTCTAGTTCTCTCACATAGAGCAGTTGGGTTGTCTATGAAAATCGACATTTGATTCATACAAAATTCAACAATAAACCTGCATTCTTATGCTGAAGATTCAAATCTCAATTCTTCGATCTTCGAACTGCTGATTGTTAAATGCAAATTTTGACTTAAAATGAACTATCTTTCTTGGCACTTTTCAACTAATTTCTCATGTTTTTATAGATTTAATTCTTGTTTTTGTGTGATTCTTCAATTATATTGCAAATACCTTTGAATTCTTTGATGCGTGTGTTATATTTTTGGGATCAGAATTTTATCTCTCTTCATTCTAAGTATATTCTAGAGAGAGAAACACAAATTCTAAGAGGGAGAAGGTACGATCTTCAATCTCTTGTTGGGTTTGGATGTAATCTTTTGATACCTTATGTATTTCATCTAATATATGTTTGTGAATTAATTTTGATTCAATATTGTTGATTGTCTTTGATTGCTTATTTGTGGGTCTTGACAAAACTCTTTTCAAATCTTTGGTCTTAGATTTTCATCTATCAATGAGCAAACTTTTGACATGGTTTTGTAAGTTGATATTCATTTACATCATATTATGGTTATTAGTAGCATGAGTATGATTAACACGGTAGATACCACGATAACGTTCTTGACGCGGACGATATTGTGAGAATGCGTGATAATAGAGATGAGAAACTTGTTCACATACATTTGGCAAATTAGGTTAATGCATGTAAAAAGGGTTAATCATGTGTACGATTCTGATCATGGCGTTATATATGAATCAAATCATTAATTTGATATGGATGTTATAATAATATCTATTGGTTCTAAACTGTAGACATAAATTTAGGTTTAACATTCATGTGAGTATCAGATCTCAATGCTCTATGTTGGTTTTGTTGCGTGAGATATCTCCGATGAGACAATACGGTTAGTCTCTCGACTTTGCGTTAGACATAACTTCTGTTGTGGGTGATGCGTGATGATATTAGACGAAAGTTTGAGTTGTGTATAACATGATTAGACGAATGCATGTGTTATCAATTGATGAGATCCAATTCCAACAAGGCTCCGTTTATATTTCAGTATTTACTTTATATTTTCAGTCTTTATATTTTCTGCCTTTATTTTTGGTGCCTAAAATCTTTCAACCAAACTTTTGCACCACAAGCTTAGAAATATAGAGACCGTTGAACATCGTTCTTTCCCTCGCACCAATCTCTGTGGAGACGATATAAATCTCGGAGGGAATCCTTCCAAATCTAAATTTTTGTTTCTTGCCACTTTACTAGAGTTCGAATACTGATCTCCTTAGCAAAAACCCAAAATTTGACTATTCTTACTATGGTCATTTCTAAGTCTACTAGATATGTCATAGTCGTTGTAACACCCCAATTTAAATATTTGCTTATTTGTTTTATTTTAATTGAGTATTTTATTTAAATAATTATTTTTGTGAATGTGGGACATGTTTGGTTGGTGACGATATTTGTAGTGTTTTGTGTTAATTAATTAGTTTAGTGGAAATTAATTAATTAGTTAATTGGAAAATAGAGAGAATGTGTATAATTGGGCCAATTTGAGAATTGATGGAGCTTAATGGTCAGTGGAGGAAAACTGAATTTAAATTGGATAAAAAGTGCAATTTAGAGAATTAAAATAAAATAATATATATTTTAAGTTAGACCAAAACCTAGATTTTAGAGCTATTTCATCAGTATGTGAAAACAAGAGATTTTGGAGAAAAAACTTGGAAGAAAGAGTACTAGGGCTTAAGAGAAGAGATCATTTGAAGGTTGATTTACTGAATTTTCTGGAATTACAAGGTAATGGGGTTCTTCATCTATGGGTGTTTAATTCATGAATGGATAGGGAGGTTTCCCTTAACCTCTAATAGGAATTTCTCTCCTTGTGTTGATCGTGTGTTGTGATGAATAACATGATTTCAATTTTGTTTTTATGTTATGATTCCTTGCAAATTCGTGTATTGTATTGGGGCTAACTGTTTTGTATACTATGTGTTCATAAACATGAGTTTGTCATGAAATTGGAGTATTCAAAACATGATTAATTTATGCTTTTTGCAGTTGAATCAGTGTAATAACATGCTAGATTAAAAGGAATTAACATGTTTTTATGTGATGATTATGTGGGTGATGTTCCTAGACTGTTTGGAAGTGTTTGGAGAGGTTTTGGGTGAGTTTTACAGGTTCTTCACTAGCATAACGAAATTATGCTTCTGTTAGCATGTGATAGGCGTCACCCATATGACGCCCTGAGTGTCATACAATGTGAAGCACTGACGGGCGTTAGCCAAATGACAGGGAGGTCGTCATGGCCTCTAGGCGAATGCAGTCTTGCTAGGTCGTCGCAGTGTGACGAGTTGAGTCCTAGGAAGGATGACAGGCGTCATCATGGGGACAGGTCACCCATCATCGAGTCAAAATACATGTTCCGACTTGCTGAGTTTGGTTTTTAGGTTTGTTTTATCAAGCGGTTGAGTTTTGACTGTTTGGTGTTTCGTGATGAGTATGAGTTGATTAATTAATTTATATAATTAATCGAGTAACACTATGCATTCATGTGAGTTATGTGTAATTTGTGAATATGTGTGGTAAGAGTGAAAGTATGATGCGATGCTGATTTGTGGGATATGCATGAGTTATTATTGATGCTTTGATAATATATTTAATTACATATAGATTTGGGTTATTTTGCATCTTTTATTGTCGAGTAATTATGTATAGTCATAGTGGGGTTGTACTATATTGTGTATGACATTCATCATATGTGTCATTGTTGTGAAAGAGACGTGTTCGCTAGTTTAGAGCGAGGACTAATGACTTGTCCCAAAACTTGAGTGGAGGTTTGAAGATCATAGTGGAGGCTCGGGGTTTGCAGAGATTGGGACCCGGTTTGTATGAAAAACCAAGCGTTGATTCAGTACTGCATGCATATAGAGTTGATTTGTGAGTCTGATTTAGAATGGGGACCGTGTGTGTTGAGCACGAGTCGAGTCATTTGTTACATTATTCTAAATGAATGTGATAGAATGATTGTGTTATGAGTGAGGTGTATATACATGATGTTGGCGTGTTCTCTAATTATATGGATAATTTTGTAGATGTGTGAATATATCTTGAATGCTTACGTACTGTGTATTGTTTGAATGTATTCTTACCCCTTTTGGTGTTATTGTGTTTGTGCTCCTCTGGAGTACAGATATTCAGGTATCTGAGTAGGAGCTTGAGATTGAGGATGGTGTTAAACCTATTTAGTTGCTTGTTGTTCGGGTTTATAGTTGGAGTCGCTATGATACGTAACACAAGGGAACATGCTCTCTTATATTTTGTTTTGTTGTGTATCTTTCTGTTTTGTTTTATCTTGCGAAGAACTTCCTTTTTAAACTAATAATTCTATTGAGGCTTTTATGCGAAGTGTTTTTGTGATTCCACTGCTATTTAAATGAGTTGTTTTTCATTATTATGTGGTTCAAAGTTTTT